GCTTTAAGAAAAATTGTTTTGGCTGCCGGGAGCACATTTAAAATGTGTCTCTAGCGGGCTATGGGAATAGAGTGCCTGGGTTGACACTGCAGCTCCTTTGCATCTGTTACACCTTGGTCCATGGACAGAGCTTTAGCTCTCAGTTTCCTTATCTGTGAAATGAGGAAGAAAAAATACTGGGAGTAATAACTGTTCCACAGGAATGCAGGGGATATGAAACAAAAGAGGTAAAGCATTTAGAACAATTGCTGCCTTGGAGAATTCACGGGAAGTGAGTTGCATCAGGCACTGGTGGCTCACATCTGTAATCCTAGCTACTCAGAAGGCTGAGTTCTGAGGATTGTGGTTTGAAGTTAAGCCAGGGCAAGAATATTCTATGAGATTTTTTTTTCTGGTCATGGTTTTTTATTTTTTATTAACTGTACATAGAATTATTCATTATTCTTGTTTCTGGGTAATATTGCCGTTGAGATTCCCAAAACTACTAAGTTGCATCTCAGTTGAGTTCTTCCATTAACTCTGCTCCAATTTTCCTATGAGACTTTAATTTCCAATTAAATATCAAAAAGCTGGAAGTAGAGCTATGACTCAAATGGTAGAGTGCCACTCTTGTGCATCAAAGCTAAGCAAGAGGGCAAGGTCCTGAGTTCAAGCCCCAGTACAGGTACACACACACACACACACACACACACACACACACACACACATTTCTAACTTATACAAAGAGGCTCTACTTTCTAATTATGTATAGACACTTATATACACTTGACTAATGAAACATTTCTATGTCATTAGAGAATTTATAAATACCATTTATGTCATAATATAAATCTGTGCTTATAGCTGACTCTCTTGCCTTTGCCATAAGTGTGTTTGTACCAACGGTACATCTGTCTGTACTTTTCATTTCTCTGAGTCACAGGAGTGTGAGATGTTTGGGAACAATTGTGCTCCTTTTGTGTATGCAATGTTAATCTCATTAAAATTATAACAAGGACGACAAAATACTTATTTAGTAATCTTTGGTATGAGTCATTGGATCATAAAAATAGTACCATCTGTAGTAGTGGACTTCATGGGAATTGCTAAAATGTACAGATCAACCCTAAATTATTTTTGCTTTTCCTCTGTAATATTTTCCAGCTAGGGACATTACTTCCCCATTGTAACTCCTTGTTACTCATTTACAGCCTGATCTGAATTCCCATTATTCTTTCTTTTATTCCCCAACTCTCCTTGAGAGTGCTAACTGGCAAGAAAAGGCCTAAGATACCTAAAGAAAGAAAAAATAATAAAAGAAAAGCACTTCAGAAGAGGACAAATAGATCTGGAAGACAGGGAGCTGATTGTGTGTTATGTAGTATTTTCTATGATTCGTAAGTGGATTGTAGACACACTTAAAACCTAGAGAGGCACTACAAATAAAAAGTATAATTGAAGTCTGCATTTACTAGATAGCTACTTCAATATTTTTTCTTTAAACCAAGGGGGAAAAAACCTTCCAATTCTCTCAGACCAACCTCAAGTTAACCCAGAAGTAAAGACTCTGGGCTGTTGTGTTAAGTGAGGAGGGAGGGTCATACTTGCCTGCCCATGAGTAGCCCACAAAGCTATTACAATAGCACAAGACTCCATTACCTGGGGAACTCAGAATCAATTGATACAGGCATCAGCCAGGGAAAAGTAATTCCATTCTAATAAAACAGAATGGCCCTTTGTCCAAAATGATCAAGAAAGTGTTTGGGAGAGGGCCTTTCCAATTTGTGATCTGGTCACGATTGGATTGTCTTTTTTATGTCTGACTTATGGAACATCTTTGCACCCAATGAAAATACTATGAGGAATAATACCTATTCTGGCAAGCCTTTGAACATCTCTTTCCCTCTAGCCAAATAACATAACTAGAATTCATCTGCCATGCTAGGAATCTAGAATCTATGAATTTTGAGAGGAAGAGTGGGAGAACAAAGTCATAATATTCGATGTACATCTGTGAAAACGAATTTCTGTTCTTTATACTATCAGTCTGTGGTATTTTGTGATAGTAGTCCAAGAATCTCATTGAAGCACTGTGAGCTGTTAAACCAATTAGAGTGTCTAAGTCTGTACTCCACAAAGGCTGATCCCAGTATGAGAGCAGATGCTATTTCTGCTACTCGGGAGGAAATCAGCCTTGAAAGGGACATTTAGGGAGTGTCAGGTTAATTGTGCAAAGTTCCCTAGAGTAGAGGAAAGGAGATGGCAATGTATAAAAAATGGGCTCATGTTTCCCACCCTCCCCTTTTTGTGCCAGAACTGAACTTGAATTTGGGGCCTGTGCTCTTGTTTGGCTTTTTCACTCAAATCTGGTACTCAATCACTTGAACTACAACTTCGCATCTAGATTTTAGTTGATTCATTGGAGATAAGAATCTCACAGACTTTTCAGCCCTGGCTAGCTTTGAACTGAGATCCTTACATCTCAGCTTCCTGAATCACTACCAATACTCAATGGGCTTCTGTTTTTAACAACAACAATAGAAAATTCCCCCTACCTTTCTTATTATAAAAGCTTACCATGTTAAATGTAGAAGTATTAATTGTAGAAATACAGGAAAATGAAGAACATAATTATGATGGCACCACTTGAGGGTGACTATTCTTTTTTATATACTAACCTATGTACCTCATGTATAACATACAGGTATATATGCATACGTATATAATTTACACATGTTTATATGCATTTTATGAATTATTATGTATTATATATAAGGAAATGATTTTTTGTGTTCATCTTTTTGAGACAGGTTTGATATATAGCCCAGGGTGGCCCTGAACTCATAATCCTCTTGCCTCAGTCTCCCACATGGTGGGATTATAGGAGTGAGTCACCATGCTGGCTTGTGGTGATCTTTTCTCATAAATATCATTTTTTCAATGTCTGATATCTTTTCATAACATCAAGTTATATTGTAGAAATGGAACCAGTTAGGTGGGATGAGTCTAGGTCTTATATAAAGCTTTGAGGAATCTTTTGTCAAATCACCTTCCAGAAAGGATGGACACATTTATTTCATATGCTCAGTTTCCAGTTACTCAGCTGCTCAGGGGATTTCAACCAAAAACCTAGGGAGGACCATGTGTGATCTAGAAGACACCGAAGCTCTGTCACCAGTGACATGACTCCGAAGTGTTCCGTGGTGATGCAGAAGGAATTTCCCACCTTAGCAGAACAACAGGAGATAGGGGCCACATCCAGTCAGCAACCCAGAGTCTAAGAGAGAGCCCGCCCTGCTCTGTGGGCTGGAGGAGGATGGAGAGGTGTGAAGAAAGGGTTTGTGCCACTCATGCAAGAGTGGAAGAGTGGAGGCTGTTTCCCTGAGGATTTCTGAGAAAAAGCTGGAGCAGCCATGGGTTGAGGTTCCGGAGATTTCACCCCAGGGAGCTTGAGATCACTGATTTTATGACCCTTGCTTGTTAATTGGATCTCTGGAGCTTTCAGGGCCTGGGAAAATACAGGTTATCCTAGGGGATGAGAACAGAGACTTGGTAGACTTTGCAATTTTTGTGCATTAAGGGAAGTTGCTGTTTGGTCTTGGTTCTTGGCCTTGTATAAGAGACACAATTACAAACCCTGCTCTCGTGTGTGTGTGTGTGTGTGTGTGTGTGTGTGTGTGCATGTGTGAGTGTGTGATTGTACTGCGGCTTGAACTCACAGCCTCATGCTGATTAATTGGAGAGAAGAATCTTGTGGACTTTTCTGCACAGGCTGGCTTCAAACCTAGATCCTCAAATCTGACCCCTGCAGCTAGGCATCCACATGGGCTCCTTAAAACTTAGCTTCTGACTGGAGAACAGAGGCAGATTTTTCCATTTCAAGAAACTGTCCATTCTACTTGGATAGAATTAGATGAATTTCTAAATGAGTATATATTTCAGTAGATGTGTGTTTTACTTTTCCTTTGCTGATTAGCTAGAATTACAGGCATGAGCAACCAGCACTAGGTTCTAGCTAATTCTTTTCCTTCCTTCCTTCCTTCCCTCCTTCTTTCCTTCTTTAAGTAGTTGTACACAAGGGTTTGATTTAACAAATTTTAGCGCATCTTTGAATAAAAAAACAAACATGAACATAAACATGAACATTAGATAGATTGCTTTGGCAACTAAGTTGATACATAATATGCTCAGTTCTTAGACTAAATGTTTTAGAGAGAAGAGCCAGAGTTCCAATTATCATTGGAGTCCCTCTAAGGATGGCCAGCTGTGATTTCTGACTTGTTGGTAGAAGGCGCATGTGAGAATAACTAGGGTAGCTTTGCGCTTCCTTAGAAAGTGCTGTCACTTCTTATTGAGTTCCAGTGTTCAGAGTCCCTAGTTGTTCCTAGGCCTTGGACCTTTGCTGGTCGACAAAACCTACACAGCAGAAAGTCATACTGACCTTTTCTTTGTGTTTGTGTGTCAGTCCTGGGGTTGAACTAAGGGCCTGGGTGCTGTCCCTGAGCTTCTTCACTCAAGGTGAGTGCCCTAACTTTTGAGCCACAGCTCCACTCCCAGCTTTTTGGTGGTTAATTGGAGATAAGAGTCTCACAGACTTCCCTGGCTGGCTTTGAACTGCAATCTTCAGATCTTAGCCTCCCAAGAAGCTAGGGTGACAGATGTGAGTCACCAGTGCCCAGTTCAGTTCACACTGATCTTGAAGCAAATATACTACAGCTAGATTTAATCAAAATCATGTAACACTTTGTTATTTTAATTTTTGTGTGTGTGTCCTGTGGCAGATGGACACCAGGACACTCTCTCCCTGCCAAGCTGCGAGCCGGGGCCCTGGCTTCTGAAAAATGCAGATTCTGGGGCCAATGTTGCTTCCCTCCCCCAAATGGGGTGCACTGGCCGAAGGCAATGGACAGACTTCCAGCGGGACACACCACGTCTTTTCCCGGCACTGTTTCCCCCTACCACGGCGGATCTGATCACTCCCCCTGGTCTCCCTTATCAATGAAACTGGGAAGCGGCCTTACCGTCCATCACCGGCTTGGGCTGCGAGCTCTTGAGGCGCAGCGAGGGCCGGAAGCGGGTCCGGTCATTGAAGCTCCAGCTCTTCTGCACTTTGGTGGGACTGCCCTCGGCCGTGATGTCGGTGCTCGGGGACCTGCGGTCGCCCACCGAGGCCTGCCTGCTCTTGATGCTCTGTCCCCGGGGGCTGGCCATGCGCACCCGCTCCTTGAAGCTTAGCTTCTGACTGTAGAGAACAGATACTCGGTTAGCTTGCGCACCTTTTCCCTTCTGTCGGGTAAAACAAGTCGATGGTTCTGCAGATGGGTATGCATTGTATTAGACGTGGGCTTTTCCCCCCTCAGTGAAAAGTTGATCTTTATTCCATCTCTCTGTCATAGCATTCATATTCAATCAGTCTCATCCTAGAGATGTACACGCATTTCTTGAGTTTATCACAGGCCGAACTGAGACCAAACACAAGCAATTCATATCCAATTATCCTGCAGATAACCAAGGATTGATTCGGAATGCACTTAAAAAATAAAAAAGTATTGGGTGATTTGAGCTTTACTTTCAACCAAGATATTTTTAAAAGTAATTCTTTTTTGTTTGGGAGCATATCTCTTTGTAATTTCTAAATGTCTCTATAGAAAAACCAGGGACGAGAGTTAGACATGTAGTTACATTCAACATGCATTGTGTACTCCAGGCAAGATTATGATCTCCATAAATGCATGCAATTGCATAGCCAGCGGGACCATTGCCTCCATCTTATTAGACACATACAACATGTAATGAATGTGATGACTGAGGAGTGGAATGCGAGGTAATGTTCACTAACACGATTTCCTGCTATTAAGCAGGACATTGATTTGCTGTGGCAGCTACCAGTACATTGTATTTATTTAAACCTTCAGTTCTCTGATGCTATCTTGGATAGGGTTGATGGAAGAAGGATTAAATAATAAGTGACAACAAATCCAAATGTATCTCACAATTTCCTAATCAAGGCACATGATTTGGGGTGTGGGAGGGGCAGGATGGAATCACAGAACTTGGGGCTCTCTGACACCCAATCAAAGCAGCAATATAGCTAAGGGATTCTTGTGGGACTCAAATAGGAAACTTGAACTCAGGGCCTGTCCCTTAGTTTTTTGCTTTTTCTTTTCTTTTTTTTTTTGCTCAGAGGTAGTACTCTTCCACATGAGTCACAGCCCTACTTCTGGCTTTTGGATGGATAACTGGATGAAAGTCGCATGGACTTTTCCTGCCTGGACTGGCTTTGAACCTTGATCTTCAGATCTCAGCCCCCCTCTCTCCCAATAGCTAGGATTGCAGGCATTGAGCACCCAACTGGAGAAAAGTTTGTATTGACATGTTGTTTGTTTTCCTGTTTCATTTAGAAAGCACTTGAGTCCCAGGACTCAGCAGCGGGCAGTGGCTTGGCAGCTCTTCGGAGTCATGCTGCAGCCTCTGTGGGGAGAAGGCAGCCATGTCAGAGATAAGGATTATAGAGACCCATGGAGACCTTGTCTCTTCCACTTACCACAGTGTCCACTGTTCCCAACTGCAGCATGCCAACAGCAAATGTGTTTAGTGGATATGTGTTTTGTAGCTAACAAGAAACAGTCATTTTATTTTCCCATGCCTATTTGCTTTAACAAATGATACTCTTGAAAGGTTCCATGTTTGATGGATGCTTACATGGACACAAATCAAACCCTGAACAACGGTGAGAGTTCTGACAGCAGTAAAGGAGTTGACCATGCAACCAACATTATTCTCCCACCCCATGTCTGACTGCAGACACAGCTCAGTCCAGCACAACTAGCTGAAAGGCACATGCAAAGAATGAGCGGTGCGGTGTTGTGACCAGCGTCTTTAAAACAGTCCCACCAGGAGAAAGGCTTATCTATATTCCACATAACTGATGACAAAAACATTAGAAACAATGGAAAACTTCATCTTCTTATTGGCAGGCTGTGTTCTCTATGTCATCCATAAACTTTCAATTATTTAAATAAATCCATAAAAATAGATAGGAACTCAAATGTCAACTCTTCTTAACCTTTTTTCGCCCCCCCCCCATTGGGAAAACTTCCTATCTCCTTCTGATTTCAGTGTGTCTTTATCATAATTTAAATTTATGATAATCTGGTTCAGAACACATATGCATATTTTTGCACTTTTTCAAGCAGATGTAGCGCTATTATAAGCTCCTCACTAGTCCCAATCTGATCTATTATACCTTTTCTTGAATTAGCAGATGGATAATTATGATAGAAGGTTTTTATCAAATTATTTTCTCAAATTTTCAAGTTATGTCTCTTTCCTATGCCAACTAAATTTACAGGCAACTGAGAAAATCATGAAACAATTTTATATGAATTTTGCTTTATTCTTTCTATAACTTTCACTTTGGGTTTGTAATCCCAGACACAAAAAAGGCAAAGATTGGGAGGATCACAGTTTCAGACCAGCCAAAACAAACTTAGTGCAATTCCATGTCAATCAATAACTGATGATGTGTGCTTGTCACCCCAGCTCCCTAAGGAGTCAACTATGTGAGAATTGCAGATTGACCCCAGACAAAAATGAGAATCTATCCAAAAAATAACTAGAGCAACAAGAGCTATGGGTATGGCTAAAAGGGTAGAGAGCCTGGCTAGGCTCTGAGTTCAAACCTCAGTATCAAGAAAAAAAATTTACTAAAAAAGAAAAAGCATAAGCACTAAAAAGTCAGAAAGCATAAAAAGGAATTGCAATATCAAATTCACCATAGTTATTTTTGTTTGTTTGTTTTTTTGGGTCCAGTCATGGGGCCTGAACTTTGGGCCTGGGCACTGTCCCTCAGCTCTTCAGCTCAAGGCTAGCGCTCTACCACTTGAGCCACAGAGCCACTTCTGGCTTTTTTCTTTTTGCTTATGTGGTGCTGAGGAATCGAACCCAGGGCCTCTGGCATGCAAGGCATGCACTCTACCACTGAGCCACCTTCCCAGCCCAAATTCACCATAGTTATGATAAAATATTTACGAATCCCTTATCAAAACTATTTCCAAAGTGTCCATTGAAACATTTTGACATTACTTCTATGAATATCTGGAAGATGGGAATAAAATTATCTAAATCTCAGTACTATTTAGAGTACCTAAATTTGGTAGAAATGAATTCTTGGTATCATTTCCTTCTCCAAGGACTAGAGCTTGAACTCAGGGCCTAGAACTGGTTCGACTTCCTTTTACAGGAGTGGTGTTCTATCACTTGAGTCACGCCCCCAGTTTGATTTTTCACTAGCTAATTGGAAATTAAGTCTTTGGAATCTTTCAGACTTTTTTTTTGCAAGCCCAGGCTGGCTTCAAACCTCTGTCCTCCAGATCTTAGCCACCTGAGAAGCTAAAATCACAAGTGTGAGCCACTGTCATTGGACTCCATTCCCTTTTTGTCTTAAATTACACAAGTATTGTTAATATATTAAAATAAATAATTTGTGCCAGTCCTGGGGCTTGAACTAGAGGGCCTGGGAAGTATCTTGAAGTTTATTTTGCTCAAGCTAGTGCTCTATTACTTGAACCACAATGCCACTTCTGTATGTTTTGGTAGTTAATTGGAGATGTGTCTCACAGACTTTCCTGCCTGGGCTGCCTTTGAACTGCAGTCCTCAGATCTCGGCCTCCTGAGTAGTTGGGATTACAGGAATGTGCCACCCAAACCTGATTTTAAAAATACTCAAAATTGTTTTAAAATATACTCAAAATTATGCATTACATTAGAGAAAATGTAATGTTTTCGTTTACTTTTCTTTTAACACAATGTTAAAGTTGAGAAAAGTCTCCTAACCCAGCATTTTTTTAACTAAGGCAAATGTTTCCTCAAAGTAAGGGTCTGTTCTTGTGTCCTCTCAGGAAAAGCTTATTCTTATTAGTGGTTCTACTTCATTTCCCCTTTGGAAATCAATAGAGCACCTTGATTAGATGGTTAGTAAACTGCTTAAGTGGCCACTATTGAAAACACACAGTGATGAAAAATATAGACTCTTCACTGGGACACTCAAATTTCCACGCTTGTTCTTGCATCTTTGGTGACATTTAGAAGCATGACTTTTGGAAGAAGATTGATGCAGCACTACTTTTTTTTTTTTTCAGGAAGCACACAAATGACAATTCCCAGGAGACCAACACATAGGTCTGTCTTTTGAAGACAGTCGCCCAGAGTTCACTGTGGTCAGGCCTGGAGCATCTCAATCTGCAGTCCCACATTCCCAGCTGAGGACTGGGCTCTGCCTGGGAATCCAGAACCAGAACCAGATGGACCTATCACTCAGATGGCTCAGTGTGCACATCATTACCAGTTTGCTTCCTGCTAGGGAACTCAGTACGATCGTAAGCCCAACCCTAATCCTCCAGGATTTAGATTGCTGTAGTTATTGTTATACTTAATTAGGGTTTTAGCCCATCACACAAGAAGCATTCTACAAATTCTCGCCTCAGGCAACCATGGGTCACTCAGCCTATAAGCCAGTGCGTGCAGCAGCTTAGCAGTTGTTCAGCCACAAGGGGGCGCCAACCAGCTGATCGCCAGTACTCTCCTATTTCTCCCACTTGGTGAGTCAAAAAGCAAGCCACAGGCAACAAGGAAAATTACAAGCGGGGTTGAAAACAAAAACAAAAACAAACTAACAAATAAAACAACTCATTCAAGAAGTCCCTAGGAAGAGTGAGTCTGTGAATAGGGCTCAGGTGGGTTGGCAGTGTAGCCTGGTCATGCACCTGAGGTTAGTTGGCATTCTCAAATCTCATGTCACTAGCCAGATGCTGGGTACCTCTGCTTCCGTGAAGTGTACATTCTGAAGAGCTTCTGTTTATTACTACAGAACTTACTAGGAGTGAGCGAAATAGAGCAGCACATTACTAAGCATTTCACCACCAGGAAAGTGCTCAGGAATTTCTTTCCTTCCTTCTTTCTTAAACACCAAACCATTTGACCTCACTGCTTGTCTTGTTTGCTTTTGATTTTGTACCAGTGGAAGGGCTTGAACCCAGGGCCTTGCACCTCTAACACTTGAGCTATGCCTGCACTTCCAGCTTTCTGTTGGTTAAACAGGTAAAAGTCTCAGACTTCTCTGCCTGGGCTGGCTTTGAACTACCATCCTCAGATCTCAGCCTCCTGAGTATCAAGGATTACAGGCATGAGCCACCAGAACCCTGCTCCATTACTGTTTGTTAATATGTAAGTTCATAGACGATATAAGGAATAAGTACTATATAGTTTAATTGTGCTGCTTGAGATATAACCATTGCTCTTGATTGTTAATTAGAAATAGGCATAACAAATGATGGTATTCTATATGTTAACAATTATTTAATATGGGAATAAGAATCCAAATACTTTAGATATAGAAACCCCTATAATAACTATCAATGTAACATAGTATAAATGGGGAATAAAGTATTTCAACAATTTTAGGAATACATAGTTACAAAAGTCAATGAAGCAGATAGTAGTAATTGCTTTGAAATCTAAAAGCAGAAGTTCTGAATTTGTGCAAAGCATCTGTATTATAGTTACTATAGGTAACTGGTTATCAGGTTGAATAAATGTTAAAAAATAAACAAGAAAAATTCCAGAAAAGGTGCTTTTACTTATTCTAAGTCTTATTATGTACTTAAAAAAAATATTGGCACTAAGGCTTGAACTCAGAATCTCATGCTTTTGCTTAGCTTTTTCACTTATAACTGGTGCTTTACCACTTGAGCCCCACCTCTACTTCTGGAATTTAACTGGTTAATTGGCGATAAAAGTCTCATGGACTTTTCTATTCAGGTTCCTGATTAGCTGGGAATATAGGCATGAGTCACTAGCACTTGGCTTTCTGATATGTTTTTTTAAAAAAGTAAATCTTGTCCTCTTATCAATAAATGTGAACAGGAGAAACTAGTTTGAAAATACTTTTTTTTTTTAAGTTTTAACATTCTGTCAGTAAGGATCCAGATTAACTATGTTGGGGGACACCTAAAATCTAGTCTTCCTGAGTTTTTAGTTATCATGCAGATTGTTCTCTAAATACAGAAGAAACAAAATGTAAGTAATAAATGATACATATGGAAGAAATGGAAGAACACACAATATCTTCCACAACGTATTTTTGCCAGAGCGCTCAGTAGGTTACAGCACAGAGAGTAAAGTAGTAAAAGAACATCACATGTGCCTTTTATGACATGCATTTTATATCAGTCTCACAGGTACTTGTTAAAGCAAGTGTGGACAGTTTGTAATGTCAGAGTAAGTCTGAGGGGGTCTTGGTGATGCCTTATAAACTAGAAGTAAGGGAGCAACTAGGAAGTAACAAACTCAGCAATCATTCCTTTAAGCAGGGGAAGCAGAGGCAGTGAGATTTATAGGTAATGCTCAAACTTCAGAAAATTTGATCAGGTGTGTGTGTGTGTGTGTGTGTGCGTGCGCGCGCCAGGCCAGTAGTGGGGCTCAAACTTGCATTCTGTGTGGCTTCTTCACTCAAGACTAGCACTCTACCATTTGAGCCACACATCTACTTCCAGCTTTTGGCTGGTTAATCAGAGGTAAGAGTCTCACAGACTTTCCTGCCTGGGCTGGCCTTGAACTAGCATGCTGAGAGCTCCATCTCCTAAGTAGCTAGGCTTACAGGTGTGAACCACTAGAATTCAGCTATGGTCTGTTCATGCAGCAATAAAAACTTGAGGTAGGAAGAGGAAACAACAACAACACCTTCTGTACCAATGTGATGGCTCACCCATCATCACTGTTAAATGACCTGGTGAAAGAGATGGGAGGGTCCTAGGAATATAGCTCAGTGGCAGAGTGCTTGCCTAACATGTGCAAGACCGTGGGTTCTATTCACAGCATTGGAACCAAGTTTCTGAAAACAGAAGAAGGGAAGCATCCAAACCACAGGACCTCAAGGTGAGAATACTTGGTTAATGTTGTGGTTAACATGGTGGGAGAGGTTTGCAGGTAAGTTCTAGTCTCTGAAAATACAATTTACAACACACAGATACAAGCTGTTCAGGTTTTAAAAAATGAGTTAGAAAAATTATTTACTGAGATGATTGACTTGAGTAAAATGTAATACATTCTAATCACATTTTTGAGATTAGAACTGTTTTAGAGGGAAGATAGAGGAAAACAAAATGATTAATAAAATGAGATGGGGGAAGTGGTATTTATAGTCTAAGTTGAGGATGAACAGAACAGGCTGAGATGAGAATAACAATAATTGGTATATAATGCCAACACAAGAAACATTATTTTACTAATTTTCATTAAGTTGAATTTAAAACCCTTTTCTTGGGACTGATAAAACTATTTTTCTAAAGAAATACTTGAGGTCTATCACAAAGAATATGATACTGTTTTTTAATCTGAGACATTACAGGTGAATTTTGTTTAACCATACCCTAACTTTAGTGTAGACAAACAAAATTGTGTGTGTGTGTGTGTGTGTGTGTGTGTGTGTGTGTGTGTTGGCAAGAACATCCCAAGGCAGGAAACAGAATTAACCAAATAGGCTTGCCTCCCATCTATAACTCTTTTGTATGTGGTCTAGTCTACTGCCATAACTCTCATTGACCTAGAAAGCAGGCTGCTCATTTATCCTTGGATTATTCGCAGTTTACTTTAATCTATTTTGTTTTTATTCTGTGTGCTGGTACTGAGGCTTGAACTTAACCGTCTGCCAACTATCCCTTGTGATTTTGCTTAAAGTTGGCACTCTATCTCTTGAGCAATAGCTCCACTTCCAGCCTTTTGCTGTCTAATTGGGAATAACAGTCTCAAAGGCTTTCCTGCTCAGACTGGCTTCAAACTGTGATCCTCAGATCTCAGCTTTCTGAGTTGTTAGGATTACAGGCAAGAGCCACTGATGCCTGGCTTACTCTCAGTTTATTTAAAGAAAGGGGATTCCAGGGTCTATGATATGCGAATGATAAAAAAAAAAAAAAATTGGCTCCCACTGGTGCTGAAACTTGTCTGTGCAGTTTATCAGAAACAACCATTCATATAAACCCCAAGGCTGAATGCAATAAAGGGCTCTGCCGTTGGGTGGCGCTAATTAGTCCCTTTGAAATGAGGTCAAGAGTAATTAACAATATTCTGGATCCATAGCTGATCTTCTCTTAGGGAAAACTCTCATTAGAAATGCATTTTCCTTCGTGCCTATTTTGCTTGAGTAAGGACAAATTTGTTATTTTCCAAGATGCTGCGGCTGCTATTGTTATTACAATACTCTTTCCGAATTCATTATGTGATATTCTAAGTTCTATTGCCAATGGAGCACAAGGTGAAAGCCACAGCAATATTAAAACAAGAATTTCAGTGTGTACTTTTAAATAATGTGTCAATTTTAAAAAGCAGGCATCTTCAGTGTTTCCTTCCAGATCATTGCAGTGTTTTACGTCTTTAATTGGTTATATGTTTTTGTTTTATTTCTCATCACATAAAGTATACTTGAAGCCAAGTACCTTCCATTTCTCTACCTATGCATAATTGATTACACATATACATTCCCTCTCATTGCTTTACACCAGGGGATAGATGTTTGGGGCTGGGGAACAGAGTTTGTGATGTACAAGGCCTCAGGTGGGTATCCGGTGGAACAGAACTTACATCAGGCCAAATACCGAATTGTTAAATTCCTGAGGACTTCAGAAAAGCACATCCCCTCCCCCCCATGTATGATTCTCTAAGTTGAAAACCAAGTTTAGTGGCTCTGAACACATTCAAATCTACAGGTGTGCTATCCTTGACAGACTTCATCACAAGCATCAGAAATCAACTGAAGTGTTTTAGATACATGTGAACCTCATAAAATTGAGATTTGCTTGGTTGTCCTGCGTTGTAACAGCTGGCCAGTGGACTTGGTGCTGGGACTGGTGAGCACAAGCCCCATCGTCAACCTTTAATTCAGTCTTTGTTTTCTACCTTCCTAATATTTGGAAACTGTGTTGGTGACTTTACTGACCAACACACAGAGGCCATGCTTATTTCTGACCCTTTTGGGTGTCGACAGCTTTCTTTTGGAGGATGAAACCATGATAGAGACTTTACTCTCCAGTGATTTTAGGATTCATGCCAAAGACAGTCTCTACCCTTAGAAATCTGGAGACAAATCCTTCTGTGAGACAATTTGCAGATAACTCCCGAGACAAAGAAAGCTTTTAAAAATATTGCCAAAGAGAAGAAAACATGGTTTATAATGACTATGACTTATTGTGTGCATTTTTTTTCAAGTGAAGTTGATGTCTGCCTGGAATTTTGGAAAAGGGAGTTCTGGGTCAGAATGGGTCAGCTTGACTCTCACGCTGTCTGCAAACAATGTGTTGAGTGTAATAACTTCAGCCTCTCTTAGATTGGAAATGCTTCTAAAGTGGAAGAAAGTAGCTCTAGGCACCTAAATGTTCTGAAGGTATTGCCCAGGAAGAGCCAATGTGCTTTGTTCTAACTGGTTGTCTACCAAGTAGGAGAGGGTATAATGACATCTCCACGTGTGCTCATCGTTTACGGCTAGATGCAGTACTCTCTATGGTCTCTCTCTCTCATAGAAGATGGTATTGATGTTTGGGAATCTTTTCAGGTTGATACTCCAGTGCTTCATCACCCTGTATGAATGTTCAAAACTATTTTCAATACTGCCTACATGTTTTATCATGAATGTCATTATTGTTGTTAATAGTTCAAAGCTAAAAAGGAACAATTCCTGGATGCTCACTGACTCCCATCTAGAAGCTAGCTCTGGACAGATAGATTTCTCCATTTCCTTTTTTACTGAGACAATTGTTAATGATTTGAGAGAGAGAAAACAAGAAGCTTGCACCCTTTTTTTTTCCTTCCAGGCACCTGGTGTTCCCTTGTGGATTTTGCCTTTTCTGAGTTCTCTCACCATCAGTGCTGAGATCGGCCAAGGCCCTGTCCTTGAGGACTTTGCTTCCAACTCCAGACCCTTCCTGTTTCTCATGAACAAGGATTACTTTTGCTTTCTATTCCCTCTAGGTTCAAGTCTGTGAGATTGAATCCCTTAAAGCACTTCCTTCTAGAGGAGGGAATAATGATCACGAGCTATTTGAGGAAATTTCGGGGTGTGGGGGAGACTCATCTTTCTGAAAGATGGAGAAAGATGGAACCTTCTTTTGACCCCAGTAAACCTCCATGCTCAATGGGCCGATAATGATCCATACAAACACTGTCACCTCCTGTATACAATGTTCCTCTTGCCAAAAGAATGGGGAAAAAATACCCAAAGCTAATAATATACAACTTTTCTCCCTCCAAAGAAAAGACAGTGAAGCCTAGGCTGTTATCCAGATCTGTAATGTTCAGAAAGAAGTTTTGCCAGTTGCTGGAGGCTCACGCCTGTAATCCTAGCTACTCAGGAGGCTGAGAACTGAGGATTGCGATTCAAAGCCAGCCCGGGCAGGAAAGACCATGAGACTCCTATCTCCAAAAAGCCACTAGAAAACCAGAAGTGGCACTGTGGCTCAAGTGGTAGAGCACTAGCCTGGAGCTGAATCGATGAGGGACAGCGACCAGGCCCAGAGTTCAAGCTCCACGACCGACAAAAAAAAAAAAAGGTCCTTTTGTTTTGCTTTTTAAATTCTCTACATCACTACATTTGAAGAGTTGGATAAGAATAGTGTAAAGAAAAATGGCAAGAAGGAATGATCAAAAATCTAGAGTGATTTTCAACCCTAGATTGTTTTCTACCTGGCAGGTTATTAAAAGCTCATGAGTAGGTTAGGGAAAGATGCTGCTGCTCCTAAGGAAGGAAAAATCAATTTTTTAAAAAACCAGCCAACTTTGTAAGCCATCTTATGAAAGGTCATTTTATAATCTTCTTGTATTTGTTGATCAATTTTACTCATGAGACACATTAGAAACATCTGTTAGGCATCAGATTTATAAACAAACATGTAGCAAAAGAGAAATCACAAACCTGCTTGACGATTCCCCTTGTTCTTTCCTGCGGTGCGTGAGGACAGAAGAAAGATGATGATAAACTTGTGAATACATTTATAGCACTAGCTCATGGCCCAGTTGGAGACTAGGGAAGCAGGTAGCTTAAGTAACCCCTTTCAAGAATGATCCGCAAGAACAACATTGCTTAGCATAAATGCTCCCCACTTCATATCTCACATTCACTGTGGTGCAGGAATGAGAGACCACAACATTTCTTGGCAAATCTGGTCTTACCCATATCTAGGCAAATCAGCACAGATTGACTCTTCATTTGCCAGGGGTTAAGAAAAGGTGAGTCTGGTCTAACCAGCTTGTTTCTGGTTACACTGGGGCCTCAGGCAGACTTTGGGGATCTAAATTTGGATGTGTTCATCTGTGGTTTTTTTGGGGGGGGGTCCAGTCATGGGGCCTGAACTCTGGGCCTGGGCGCTGTCTCTCAGCTCTTCAGCTCAAGGTTAGTGCTCTACCACTTGAGCCACAGTGCCACTTCTGGCTTTTTTTTCTTTTTGCTTATGTGGTGCTAAGGAATCGAACCCAGGACCTCTGGCATGCAAGGCATGCGCTCTACCACTGAGCCACCTTCCCAAGCCCTGATCTGTGAAGATAGCTTTGTACTTCAATCGCTGGTTGAGGCAGATTTATTTTTTTTCCCCATTGTGTAAAGTATGAGTTCCCATGGAGTAAGTCAGATTCATAGAAAGTCTGCCAGAACTCTTCTGGTTTTCTGTTGGGTAGTATTTTAAAACCATTTTGGCCAACTTAGGTTTAAGCATCATGGCAGGGATTCTATTCATTTTAAGTTAACTGTGGGCTATTGGATACACACCTCGCTTTCTTGTAGGTCTTGCGTTTCTTAAGGTTTAAAACAGAAGGCATTATAGTACCAAGTCCGTAACTTTTGAGTTCTTTAAGTGCCTCTGGGCTTTTCTCAGAGCGTGATAACTTTCAATAACTCTACAATATTTCCCCTTCTCTTTCACATAGCATATTGATCATGTGATTAATCTTTATTCACTTCAAGAAGGAAATCAGGACAAATAATTTCTTCGCTAAGTCCTCTGTCATTGAAACTTTGAAATAGCCATGACTGAGACCTCTAAGACATATGTAAGAGAAAAAAATAGTCCTGAAAAAAGAGTAAGAGACTTCCTGGTTGACTCCCTGGTGGTTTTGAATAGATGTGGCATGCCTCTTCACCCATGGCTTTCTCCCCTACAGTTGATTCTTAAGCTTTGATTTCACACGACTCCCCAAGGAAAGCTTAAGGAGCAAAAGCATCCCGCAGTACCGCCAAAGCTGTGGGGAACCAAGCAATGGAGCTGGGGTTTTCTTTTTCTTTCTTTTTTTCTTTTTGGCCAGTCCTGGGGCTTGAACCCAGGACCTGGGCACTATCCCTGAGCTTCTTTTGCTCAAGTTAGCACTCTACCACTTGAGCCACAGTGCTACTTCCAGCTTTTTCTGTTCATGTGGTACTGAGGAATCAAACCCAGGGCTTCATGAATGCTAGGCAAGCACTCTACCACTAAGCCACAATCCCAGCCCAGGGGTTTTCTAGTAACAATATTGGTTTGATAGTGGTGATGACGATTTTGACAATGTGCTTGCTTCTCTAGTTTACTTTTCTGCTCAGCACTGTTGCCATCATATGTGTTCCACAGTTTACATATTTATATGTCACCTCCAATGTTCTTTGAATATATATTTGCTGAGCTTTGAGATTTTAACTTGCCGTTCCCCACCCCATCCACGGCATTCTTAGTGACTGGAACAGGACCTTCCACGTAACAGGTGTTCAATGAATTTTTGATGAATGTATATGTTGAAGACCAACTGCTTGTTCTCTTCAGAATTTCCTCAGATTCTGAATGTTAGAGGAAAATACACTGTGTAAATAAAGGAAGTTCTGGTCCATCTCTTACTAGTCATTTTGTATACAGTCAGCCAGCTAATTATAAATCTAAAAACATCCCTCTAAGTCATTGCAATTATTCTCCTCACAAACCTAGAACTCCTTTCTAAGGCAAAGGTCTGAAATTGGCTTCAGGGAGTTGGTGAATATATTAACCATGAGGGAAAAGTTGGATGATATATGGAATATTGTTCTTGGGGTTATCAAGCAACCATAAATAAGCAACAACAACAAAGAAGTATTGTTAGAGGGAGAGACATCACAACATCTAGACTCCTATGAATTTTGCCAGTGATTATTGCATCATTGTGGACAAATGACAGGTTCTCAGTAAATGAAGCTGAGACCCAGGCGAATGAGGCGGCAGGGAAAGGTGACTAAAGATGATTGACAGGCTCAGTGAGAGCAACAGGCTGAGGGCAGGCGCTTGTTCTATCCCACTCCACCTCCACCCTTATTTAAATGGGGAAAATATCAAAAGAAAAGAAGAAATTACATGAGTAAAATAATAGTCAATGCAGTGGGAGAATTTGACTCATTATTAAATGGTTCTTTCTTCTTTCAGGCTTCAGAATGACTTTTAATCCAAAACGCGAATAATCATAGAAGATAATAAACTACTCTCCTGTCATTTGAGAAGCCTATAACAGTTTCCCTACAAGACTTCTTTTTTTACATTTATCGAAGGAACTTTGTGAAGATGAGCAATATATAATTTCCATGAAATTCTCAGTTTTGATTCACAGACTCAAGGAATAGACGGCACAGAGTGAGGTTCCTTTTCAAAGGAATTGAATAGCCAATAAAAAGGATTCCAGTATATTCCAAGATTGAAAACGAAAGAGGATTTGAATCCACACCTTCACTCAGCAGGCTTCGAGGCTTCTATCTTTGCTAGAATTCCATGTCTCTAAAGTTCTGGGGGTGGGACCATGAATGTCTGTGCCCCAATGTTGACCGTTCCAGCTACTGACCTCTAGGAGAGCTGACCTGCTGTCCTGCTGATGCTTAGGGATCATCTTGTCCGAGGCCCAGGGCAAGACAAGGAAGCTGCTGACCAAGTTCTGTGTGGTGATGGTATGTTTGCTACTTCCTGCTGGATTGTATGATACAACATCACACAGCTCCACTAACAGCCATGCCAAGAACCCAGTTCAAGTGTCCCCTGCTGATCTTCCAGACCCTGAGCCCCTGTAGTGAGGTGCCTTAAATCTCAGGAAACACACTGAGATTGAGGTTTTGTAGGACTATGAATGGAAATAGCCAACATTCTAAAAGACTGAGCTAGATAAGCAATTTAATAGCCTTTGAACAACTTGTAGAACCGACTACTTTCATCAAGTTGAGTGACTCAGAACAATCTTCCTCATGACTTACTGGCTTTGGAGTTTCAATGATTACTTTTTTAATTAGATGATGATAATGTTTTAATATGTATGCTGCTAGTTGAACTACACTTCAGGACACTGCCTGAAGCCATTAACTTTTTTGAAAAAAAATCACTGTGGTTGGTAATTTTTAGGACCATTAATAAGATTTCAGATCGTGCCCTCCTTCGAGACTTTTTCGGTTCCCTTGGGTTTAGGCATGGTGGATAACCTTTGGACGATGCAATGGGAAGGGAAGTAGTATGACTTGGAAAGCTTGAATGCTAACTCCAGATTTTAATCTGACTGGTCCACTGCCTCCTGTAAATTCTACTTCTGCTGTTAATATTTGTTTGCTCAGCCAAGTGAAAGCGTAAGTGAAAATGTAAGAAATGACTTAGGCCGAATGAATGTGCACTGACACATTACTTTCAAGGGCAGATGATAAATAATCCTTATTCTAGTTGTGGACTGTGGTTCTTACCTTTGGAATTCTGACAGGCTTTATGATTAGATGTGAACATGAAATAGTAGACACATCCCTACAAAAAGGATTACATTCCTTTCCTCTTCAGTCCAGGTCTTTGGAGAGTGAGGAAGGAGAAAGGAGTCATTCAGTGTTGCACTTGCATTGCTACTACCAAGATCCAAACAATACAGAATGAGACCAGCCAACATGAACACTTTCTCTGTGTGCATTCATGGCTTGTTGAGAAGACTAGAAAAGACTCAGCTCCAGCACCAGCTGTTGCACGGATACCTACTTGGTAGGACTACAGGTGTGCAAGGCCTTCAAGTGTGGCTTCCAGGTGGCGATGGAAACAGATTTCTCGTCAGCTGCGTAACTCCGCCAAACGCACTGTATGGGGTATAATGGGGACAGAAAAAAAAATGGAGCAAGAAATAGAATAAAATGAAAAGGATAATTATTCATTTACTACACATTCAAAACCTTTTCCTTAGCAAAGTGTAGCCCTGAAAGCATGCCCAAAGGAAGAAGCAGACTGGCAGTTATACATACTCTGCCATATCAAAGCTTTTCCAAGACACCACAACACCACAAAGCAGACACACCAAGATATATAACAATACAAATTTTGTGCCAGTACTTGGTTGAACTTACAGCTTGGGCACTGCCCTTTAGCTTTTTCACTCAAAGTTGTTGTTCTACCACAAAGGTCACACCTCTACACCCAGCTTTTTGGTGGTTAATTGGAGACAAGGGTCTTATGGACTTTTCTGCTTGGGCTGGCCTTGAACCAAGATCTGTAGCCCTCAGCTTTCTGAATAGCTAAGATTACAGATGTGAACCACTTGGGGTTGTTCACATATTATATATAATATACACATAATGCACATAACATAATTTTTGAGCCAGTTACGGATAAACATTATCTGATCTCAAGGGAAAACAGTACTGTTCAACTGGGTCAATACATACTGATGTCCAACAATCCGAGGGTGAGGATGCAGTTGGGCCTTTCATTCATTGGCCTTTAGTTAACAGTTGATAAGACAGAAGCCAAAATTACCAAAAATCCACCTTACAACTAGTACAATAGCTATTAGGCTAATAAACTTTAAGGTTTGTGAATGACTTAATTAGTGAAAACCCTGAGGTTGAATTGTGAAATACTTTTAATGTTAAAAAAGTGAAGATATGCTGGCTTTTGATTGGCTGAGATCTGAGGATCATGGTTAAAAGCCAGCCTGGGAAGGAAAAACTGTAACAACCTTATCTCTAGTTAAATACCAAAAACCCAGAAGTAGAGCTTTGGTTCAAGTGATTGAGTACCTACACTGAATGGAAAAGCTAATGGAGAGAAGCTAGGCCCTGAATTCAAGCCACAGTGCGCGTGCACGCGCGTGCGCACAGACACACACACACACACACACACACACACACACACACACACACACAGGCTCATGCCTGTAATCCTAGCTACTCAGGAGGCTGAGATTTGAGGATTGTGGTTCAAAGACAGCCTAGGCAGGAAAGTTGGTGAGACTCTTACTCCAATTAGCCACCAGAAAACCAGAAGTGGCACCATGGCTCAAAGTGGTAGAGTGATATAGCCTTGAGCAAAAGAGCTCAGGGACCCAGGCCATGAGTTCAAGTCCCACAACCAACCAAAAAAATAAATAAAGAGAGGGATTCGTATTTTGTAAATGATAAAAAATGCTCAGATAGAGGTTAAGGCTCCTACAAAGTTAAGAGGATTGAGATAGGATCTCCAATAGCCCCACTCTTGGGCATAGCCCTCCAGTGGGAATTTTGCTGACTGCTTGATAACTGAGGTTGAAACACTTCCATTGAAACTGTCTATTTGAAATATTGCCTGCATGCACATTCCCTTACAGAGCTTGGTAAATGTATTCCTTTTGCAATGAGCCTGCAAGCATTTTTTAATACCAAGTGTTTGCTCTGATGTCTTTAGAGACAATTTTTTTATTACGATTCATTACTCAGAGCATTCTATTTTATGTGACAAATACATTTAAATGGGTCACATCCCTACTGTATAACTATCAATCAAGATTCTGAAATGTACAATGAAGAAAAAAAGTGATCTAATTATATTTGCTTTCCCGAGAATATCACTGGCTGAATAAGAGCTGCACAAACAAGTTAAAAACTGGTACAAACTACTTGGAAAAACTGTCCTGTAGTGTCTATTACATTTGAATATATATGTATACTGTGATACAGCTGTGAATTCCTAGGTAAATATTCAACAGATAAACTTAAATACACTTGATAAGCATATATACCACTAGCTAGGTACTAGTAGATCATACTTAGAATCCTAGCTACTTAGGAAGTTGAGATGGTTGAAAGCCAATCCAGGCAGACAGATCCACGAGACTCTTATTTCCAATTAATCACCAAAATTTAGAAGTAGAGTATGGCTTGAGTGACAAGGAATGCTAACATTGGGTAAAAATCCAAGGGAGAGAGGTCCTGAGTTCAAGCCTTAGTACTGGCATGTGCATGTGTGTGCCTGCACATGTGCGTGTACACACACACACACACAAAAGATAAACACCTCATACTGATTTCTTAAGTAAAAATAGAATTACCACAACATCTATTAACAGTAGTATATATAGGAAGGTGCAATATGTGCACATATTGGAGAATTGAATATTGAAGGTATAATACGGACACACAACTAAGGTCAATCATATTGACTTTTTAAGAATGATGTTGAATAGTGAAACCAAAGGAGGGCACTCCTAGGAGAGGCCACAAAGGCACAATATCTATACATGTCTGATCACAGAAAATAATATTTATTGAATGAACTCTTTTTTGCTGTTTTTGTTTTCTTTAGATCTGCTTGTCTTTGGGAGGGTAAGGAGAGGCACAGAAATGGAGGGACCAAGGGTGAACAAACGCAGCAGTGGTCCTCACTGGATGCGATGTAGAAAATGAACCATATAACTTGTGAATGGGAATGGGAGGGAAAATCTGGGAGAGAGTGTGGGAAGGTGTGATGCTGACTAAAAAGAAATGCACTAATTTCCTGATTTATGCAACTGAAACCCTTCTGTACATGACCTTCATAATAATTTAAAATAAAGTCACCCCCAGGACAAAAAAAAAGAATGATGTGGAGTGACCTAAATGACAAATGTATGAGTGACATAAATGACAAAGGTACTCTGTGCTGGTGCACGGTGCTGCCTCATGGAAGCTGGTAGAGGTAGGACACAGGTAGGAACTGATCTCTGTCTAGCTGGGTATTGAACAGGAGGACTCAGCTCTCTTTGGAAATTGGCTCTTCATGAAACATCTGGGAAGTGCCATGAAAATTTACAGTAGAACTTAAGGAATGTTTTATGCTGTGAAGGAAGTTTTTTTTTTAATTTATATATTCTCAGTAGGATTCCTTTACTAAAGCTTTATCCACACGGCTTATGTTGATTTAACTGCTCACCATGGAAGTCTGTGCTATGCATCTTGGCATCTTAATAGGTACTAAAGCAATTACTATCATTTCTGCAGTTATTCAATTTTTTGTAGCTGTGTCTACACAATTTTTAGAATGATTGTAAAGAATCAGTAGCTGGTATCAGTGGGACACACCTATAATCCTAGTTACTGAGAAGGCCAGGATCCAGAGAATCACAGTTCAAAGCTAGGCAGAGAAGTCTGAAAGACTTCATTCTCCAAAATAACTAGCAAAATGACAGGCTGGAGACATGACTCAAGTGAAATAATGCCAACTGAACAAACAAAGGCAAGCAAGTATGACACTCAGAGTTTAAACTCTGGTACCAACAAAACAGAAGCAACAACAAAAATCAATAAAATACATATGTTTGTGTGTGTGTGTGTGTGTGTGCATACACACATGCACACGCAGGTAATGGGGCTTGAACACAGGGCCTGGACATTATTCTTTATCTTTTTACTTAAGGCTGGTGTCCTACTATTTGAGTCACATTTCCATTTCTGGCTTTTAGGTGGTTAATCAGAGATAAGAATTTCACAGACTTTCCTTCTTGGACTGGCTTTGAACTGGGATCCTCAGCTCTTAGCCTCCTGAATAACTAGAATTACAGAAAAACACAGATTTATCATCTCAGCTTCTTTTGTCATAGTGAAGCTCAGAAATCTTCTAGTGCTATAAGAATCTAGATAGCTGCTTTCATTAAACAATTTTCTTAAAGGTGACATACGTATTGATACTCTGAAAAAAAGAGACATAAATAGAACTAGAGGCATACAGCATTGTTTGATAACAGTAGGGGAAAAAATCCAAAACAATAATTCACCAAATAATGGCACCAAGGTATCACTGCATAATGTTACCACACATTAGAGGCAAGAGAGGGCACTCTGAGAAAAGTGAAGTGTTTCTTTCTACTAATATCTGACTTCTTGTTTGTTGTCAATCAAGGGCTAAACTCTTGATCCCTTCATTACTCTTCATCTAAACATGCCTTGTAAGTGAGAAACACAGGAGGGGCCCATCCCCGACAGGGCTCATGTTAGATAAGTCAAAATGGAACTGGAAGGTATAATTCTTTTCCTCTTACACTCTTAATAACTTTCTCCTGGGCTGGGAAGGTGGCTCAGTGGTAGAGTGCTTGCTTTGCATGCATGAGGCCCTGGGTTTGATTCCTCAGAACCACATAAGCAAAAAGAAAAAAGCTGGAAGTGGCACTGTGGCTCAAGTGATAGAGTGCTAGCCTTGAGCTGAAGAGCTGAGGGACAGCACCCAGGCCCAGAGTTCAGGCCCCACAACCAGACCCCCCCCAAAAACCCCCCCAAAACAAAAAAACTTTCTCCTGTCCTCGATCTTAGCTAATTGGTGCTGGTGGCTGAAATTCCAGTCCATATCTTTGTGATCCACTAACTAATATTGCTCCATTTAAAGTGCAAGTCACACAGTGGTAGGCAAAGAGAAAGATAACACTCTGGAGACTTCTTAGGGTTAATTTGCACGACGTGTCCTCTCCACAGACAAGTTAACCTGAAACAAATGGAAGTCATACTTGCTATTCATCAGGCAATGCTGGTACTCAAGGCAGCGAAGATGTGCCCTTCAGTCTATGATTGTAAGCAGAGTGTGAGAATAATGCAGTATGAGGGAATGTATAGTGTATGTGTGTAGAGTGGTTGGCAATAGTACATCCATAGCAAGTCTGGTCCTTTCTAGAATGAGTCTAGAGAGGCTCAGCTGACTGTGCAATGGGAGATGAGCATGGGACTTATTTTTACAAAGGTCTGTATTCTAAAATTTCATTACTGAAAAAGGAAGGGTGCAAACAAGGCCATCCCTTTCCCCTTCATTTTAATTTCTGCTCCTTAGTGGGAACTTCTTCACTTCTTACAGTTACTTCTGTATT